ATCCAAAGACTCTTTATATGTTTGTTAACCACTCTTCTAGAAGTGTCAAGAGACAAATCTTCAGTGATACCTGTCTTGCTTCCTTCCAAATAAATACGTGATTCTGTTGTGAAGATCTAATAGTGCTCAATTAAGGCAAAGCTGCTTCTGAATTTCCAATACAAGTAGATTTTAAAGGCACCCTTATGAGGAAGACCAAGTCTGGAGCAATTAGCAAAAGGTGGGCATTTAATTTACTTTATTAGTATGAAACATTTGAGGCACACAAATGGCTTAAAGGACAGGTGTTTGTTCTGGGTGGAACAAATGGTGACGCTCTCGGCTGTTTACCGAAAAACAGACAGTAGGGGTTCACTCACAGGTGCCTGGGAAGAAAGGCCTGGTGATCTACGTCCAACATGTCCACCATTGACACCCCAATGGGGTGGTTCTACTCTGGCACACGTGGGGTCATAATGAGATGGGATTGACTCCAGGACCACTGGTTTTTTGTGGCTGTTGTTGATGTTGGTTTATTTACTCTTATGTAAACTTCTGTTGCTCACAATATAAAAATCCCAACTAGTGAAAAAGGGTTTGTTTTCTGATAGAAGTACAACAAAGCTGGAAATGAGTTTTTGCCTAGTTTATTTCTCCGAGTGTAAATGACAAGCACTCTTGTCACACACCAAGTGTCCCTCACTGAAAAGAGATACTATTTGTTCCAATCTCAATTTAAAACAAAAATCAACTAAGATCTAATAGTGGAAGATGTGCACGGGGAAGCGGCTTTATCTGCATCGAAGACAACTATATAGAAAAGTAAAAAAGGAAATGTATTCATTGAGCTAATTAATGTTGGTGCTTAGAACGGTGCCATTCACTAGCAAGTTCTGGACCTTTCTCTGCCTTTGTTTCCTGATAAGAACAGGACCTGTATTTTAGGATTGTTAATGGACGGGCACTTAGGACAGTGCCTGGCAGGGAGGAGACCCTCAATCAACGTGAGTTCCCTTTCTTCCACCCCTGCAACTGGCATCTCAACTCCATGTCACAGTAGGGATTTGTCTTACATCACTGCGGACTCTGTGGTATCTGCTTTGCTCACAGTGAGCAGTCAATAAATATTTGTTCACCGAGATTCATTGCTTAAAGTAACTGGACTTTGAAATTGAAAGTCAAAAAATGACGTTCCATCCTACACTTTATAACTGGAGAGGGAAAAACAGACTGCGGTTTAGAGCACTTCGGGAATTGGAAAGAGAAGTCATCTAAGCTCTCCAGGCCCAGACTCAGGTCAGATCCTTCTGACTGTTCGGGTGATGGGCCTGAGATTTCCTTTCTCAACTCCCGCAATGGGAATGACAGCCCCACATTTATTCTACAGACTACATTAAAGTACACGTGGCAGTTCATCATGGAACTATAAAGGGATAGATAAACACATGATATTATTAATTTGTCTTACAGTGGGTTTGCCCTTTGGGTGACAATAAAATGACTCTTTGAGAGTCTTAGAAGAAAGAATCTTTAGCTAAAGATTTAAGTACTAAAAATATTCAATCCCAGAGGTACCACAGACATAGACTAATTTTTTCCATCTGTGCAGTTTAGGGTAGATTTGGCATACACTCCGTACCAGGCAAGAAAGAAACTATGGTTTAGGCTGTTTTTAAAGAAAAAGAAAAAAAAATCAGAAAGGGAAACGATTTCCTTTTATAAGCATGAATGTTAAAGTGGCGGGGTGGGGGTGGGGGCTCTGTGAAGTTCTCACTGAAGCGTAGCGACTTGCCCCATACCTTCTCCTGCATCTTCCTCTCTCTGCTGATGGTCTCGTCAGTGATTTTCTGTAGCACGGCCATTTCCTCCTCACCCAAAGGAAAGCGGTACAGGTTATTCTTCATCAGCCACATGTGAGTCAGAGGTCAAAAGGGAGCTCTTTATAAGGCACTCTCTCTAGAGTACTAATATTGAAAGATGCGGTTTTCAGCTGCCTTCAAAATCTTATAGCTCTAAGATTAGGCCCCACCTGAGAAGTCCCAACAAAGACTGAGTTTGAGGTTGAGAAACTGGTTTGAGGAAAAAAGATAAAAATAACAGAAAAAGCCCTGATAGGTGAGCTGGTGACTCACTGGCCGTTCCTTGAACTTCAGGAATGACAAGATGGAGAAGGGGTTGGTGGGGCATGGGAAGACAGTGCCCCGCCAAAGACCAGATGCTCCCCGTAAAATGCAAGCCATTCAGGGAATTTAAAGGCCTATCTGTGTTCTTAGGGTAAAGCAATAAATCTAATTTTCATGTCAAGTTGTTAAACACCTCAAGGAAAGGACATTAGGAAACAGAACTTGATTCTGCTTTACTCTAAGGGCTTGCTTCCTTAAGCTTATCATTTTATTCTCCTGCTTAAAAAAGTCAATATCTCCACATTGCTACCGTACGTCGACTTTAAACTCCTCACAGTCACATAAAATCGTGTTTATGACAGGATCCCCACCTTCTTTGTTTAGTGTCATCCTCTAAGTAATTCATGTTACAGAGCTTATGGCAGCCACTAATAATGTCCCCAAACACACCAGATACACTTGAACTCCCTCCTACCGCTCATGCCTCTCTCTCCCCAGAACACACCCCAGCCCTGCAGATGGCGTGTTCTCTTTAACCTTTTCAACTCCTGCTCTTTCTGCTCCGAATGACTGTGTACTTCATTGCTGGAGTCATTGCAATATGAACATGCCCTTGCAAAATCACTTCACGTGGTGAATTAGACTCCTTTGGGTCGGTTTCCTCTCCCACTCACTTTGAATTCCATGAAGGCAAGTGTAAGCCCTGTCACTCCTGATACATTGTGGGAGGGCAGTATAGGTTCGTTGACTTCAATATGAAAGGAGGGCCAACACATGGATGGATTTTCTAGGACTCACAAGTATGTTAAGCACACCAATGCCATTCTGGTTTGGGTCTTATCCAAACCCCAGCACCAAACCCACTGCCTTTGCATTGATTCCAACCCATAGCAACCAAGTAGAACTGCCACCTAAGGTTTCCAAGACGGTAATCTTCAGAGAAGCCCACTACGTCTTTCATCTTCAGCACAATGTGTGGGTTCAAACCGGAGGCCTTTGGATTCACAGAGGCCTTTGGATCCACTGTACCACAGAGAGCATGTAAAGGGTTCGTGTTCAAAACCAAACCAAAATCAGAGCCCTGGATGTATTTCTTTCGATAAAATATTACTAATCCATCTTCTGCTTCCTGTAACTCAGCCAAAGGGTAGCTGAGTTGTTAAAAATATTCTCCAACTGCAGTGGGATTACCTCTGGGGCTTGCTCCAGTCAACACACCTCTGTCTTGCACTTGTTCTTCAAAGAGCCCCTCGGTCAGCCCAGGCCTTTGAAGGCATGAGCTGAACGGAAACCAGATGAACTCTGTTGAATTTTAAATGTGCCATATTCTCTAGCACTAAACATTTCTCCCCTAGCTGAAGACGTTAATGGAAGAATTACATAATGTAATAGCCATTTATTTAAAAAACTTTATTCATGATCCCTGCTGTGATCCAGAAAGTATTTCAGGGAAGTTAAAGAAACGTAATTGACTCTAAAACCAAATTGTTCCTTTTTTCTTTTTAGGTTCTTTTGAGACCTGCTGTCAGTGTTGTTGGCCAGTGTAAAAGGCTGGAAGAAGTTTTCTGGGTCCTAGTAACACTTATTTCCTGTAGCACCTTTGATCTTGTTATTGATGGACACCTTCAAGCTGACACAGACCCATAGCGACCCTGTGCAAACAGAATGAAACAGCTGCCCGGTCCTGCACCAGCCTCACCATTGCTCCTATGCCCGAGCCCTTTGGTGCAGCCACTGTGTCTACCCATCTCGTTGAAGCCTCCTCCTTTTTCGCTTAGGCCACTTTTACCCTGAGATCCAGTGAGAGATTGTTCAATCTGGAAATCAGTCAGTCACGTATACCTTCATTTACTGTACAGAACAATGAGTTATCCAGCAGGTATCCTGGCTACATAAAAGCATAGCTGATTTCATGTTCTGAGGTGGTCAGGCTCAGATAAAGGTCCGGATAAAGGTTAAAAAGCAGAAGCCTTGGAGTGAGTCAAGAGTTTTAATCTGGCCACACCTCTTACCAGGTGGGTGACTTCAGATCAGTTACTTAGCTCTAAGTCTCAGCTGTTTTATCAGTTAAAAAGGGTACCAACTCCAGATAGGTCTATTGTCTGGAATGAGTGAGTTCAATGTATATGGCACTTAGAATGCTGTCTGGCATATGGTAAACCAAAAAACTCACTGTCATGGAGTCGATGCTGACTCACAGCAACCCTATAGGACAGGGGAAAACTGCCCCTGTGGGTTCTGAGATTCCTGCTCTTTAAGGGAGTAGAGAGCCCTCTGTTTCTCCACTGGAGCAGCTGGTGGTTTTGAACTGCTGGCCTTGCTGTTAGCAGCCCAACTCATGACCACTACGCCACCAGCGCTCCTCTTGGCACTTCATAAATACACAGCAATGATAACTCTTATGTCTACATTTTACTAGCTTTCCATTATTAAGTAAGGAAAATGGGCACAATAAAAATTACAGGAAGACAGATACCTTTTAGACCAAACTTTATTAATAAAACATAACTCGGTCTGCTTTGGTATCATTATTGACAAAATGCCTATAGTTGCCATATTAGCTAAGGAGATGTATTAATTTTAGCTGTACCAATAACCAGAACCCAACATCATCCTAGTTTTACAATTCCTGTGAGCTTCTGAATGCAACTTCAAAACAAAACAAAATCACAAAACTCTAACATACAACAGAGCAAGCAAACCATTTAATTCTTTTTCTATTTCAGGGACGAGACTGGGGCTACTCATCTAGAATGTTATTAACAGAGAAGGTCCATGGGAACAGGACAATTTAAAGACAGAGGTTCCAATTTTGGGAATGATGAGGGCAACAAATGTATAGGTGTGCTTTACACAATTGATCTATGTATTGTGATGAATTGTATGAGCCCCAAGAAAACGATTAAATAAAATTAAAAAAAAATAAAGACAGAGGTTTCATAACACAATGTCTGTAACGGTTTTAGAAGGCTGTAAATAAATAATCTGGATACACAGTACATATTGCTAATTTCTGACCTAAGATTGTGCAGGAGGATTAAGAGGCTCCCTTGGTGCATTTGAAAGTTTTGATACAGTCTATTTGCTGATTCACCAAGTTTTGTTCCATATATAAGGACTCACCAATATAACATGACAACAGTATCCATGGGAACCTAACAGCCCGAGTTTAAAAAAAATCCCTTATTAATATTCAGTTCAGCTTGATCTACAGGGCTTGCTATATGTGTGAATACTAGTGCTTCCTTATACAGGAATATAAAATGAACAGGAAGTCTCTGATATCAAGTTGTAAAGGAAAACGCTCTCAGATTAGGAGGTAGCCAGTTGACATATAAAATAGTCTTCGATCTGAATTTCAGAACACACTTCAACGATGGACAAGGAGGGGAAGAAAAAAACAGATGTAGAAGAAGACAACAATTACATTGGCTCAAATGAACAGAGGTAATAATTTGGAGACAGCAAATAAATAAATCAACCAATGTCCCAGTTTTCTTTTAAAAAACATCACTGGTAAATCCTTATGAACAATTCTAAAGCTCATCCATCAAGATGTGTTTTAAAGAAGGAGAACTTTGACCACCACGTGCTTCATAAGTCCCTTCATCTAATGCACTCTTCTTCCGACAGATCTAGCACATCTCCATCCGCAGTCTCTTCTATCTCCGGCAAGTTGCCCCAAAGCAGGACATTGACACCTACAAATTACAAATAAATTAACCATAAAATGATTTAATGCTGGCTACAGTTGCAACGCAGAACATGAGTACAAAATTGTTATTAACACTCTTAGACTAAGCCATAGTTGTTAGCAACTAAGAAAAGCCTTTAAGAACTTATCACAACTACATTTATCTAATTATATCTAAGTTCATCGAGGACATTAAAACTCCTTTAAATTATTTGAAGCAAAGAGTTAAATTCTAAAATCTTAGAACCTCAAATGATTGGTCTATTTATTATCTCCTACTTTGTGGTATAATCTCTGTAGTGATACTTTTCTAGTATGTTTTCATGATCTTTAAGACTGGAGCGCTTGTAGATCAAGTGCTTCTGGAGGAGGGTACAGGGCATGAACTGGAGTAAGTCTTCTCATTTCCTCAATAAACATGGAAGCAATCAAGTACCTTTTTAAAAAAATTGAAACAACCACGGTTGGGGGGGGGGGGAGGGAAAAAAGAGGATCTGATACCAAGGACTCAAATAGAAAATAAATATTTAGAAAATGATGATGGCAACATATGTACAAATATGCTTGATACCATTGATGTACAGAAGGCTATAAGAGCTTTACAAGCCCCCAATAAAATGATAAAAAACAACAAGCAAGAGTTTATTTGAAATGGAGGCTGAGGGGGGCAGGTAGGGAGTAGGCTAAGAGCTAGAATAAAGGAAAATAGAGTTGTAAGCTTCAGGATTCTGTCGTGGCCCTCCCTCATTGCCATGGGGTCGATGTTAGCTCACAGCGACTCTACAGGACAGGGGAGAACCTTTGCTGTGGGTTTCAGACACTATAATTCTTTATGGGGGTAGAAAGCCCCATCTTTCTCCCGCGAGTGGTTTGGAACTGCTGACCTTTCAGTTAGCAGCCCAGTGCGTAATCACGCCTCTAGGTCTCCTATATTGTAGCATATAGCATATATATTATTCGATATAATAAACGAATAGCAATCTACGCTCCTATTGAGGAAGGACATTTCTATTTCATAATGAAGAGCCCACCAGAGATAAATAGTACCAAACCAACATATAGTAGAGGATTAGGAGATGGCTTATGGCAGGCACATGTGAGGACAATGCTACACCTTGAAAGCACTAAACTGAAAGTGACCCCATTAGTAACTGACCTCTAGGAAAGCCAGGGACATTCGGTAAGGACAGCTGTCCAGTTGTCAGTGTGGGCCCGGGGAGGGATGGCTCAGCGACAATGGCTCCCCTCCACACACACTGAGCTAACAACAACATGTGGGATGGAGAAGTCAGGGTCTAGAGATTGGTTTGAATCCAGTTTCTACCATTACTAGCATGAGGACAAGTCAAACGCCTCACAATGAAGGTTCCGATTCATACACACGCGTTGGAACGTGTCTGTGTGATCCGTGGATGGTGGCAGACAGGCTCTCGGTAGCACACTTGCCTTGGTCTCAGCAGGGTGCCTTCAGAACAAAAGTGAACCCAAACTCTAAGGGATTCTGCTAGACTAGTGAAGTGCAAGGCAGAGAGGTCAGCTCAGAAGGCTACAGTGACCACTTTCTGGGACCCCCAGGGGTCATCTGGATAGATTTTCTCCAAGGACACAGGATGAGTACGGGGAAACTGCACTGGTGAGACAAAGGCCAGGACAGTTACACGAGGAGGAATTTTCCCCCATCAGAGTACTCATTCGTCTAGCGCTGTTGTACAAGAATGCTATTGGGACACCTTGCCTCATCTGCCCTACTGCCCGCATCTTGCCTTTCCGTCTCTTTTCTGTTCCCTGAACTCAAAGCACCGTGACAGGGAGTGTGAAGGGAGCCGCGTGGGTGTGGTGCAAATGGGTCCGAGCGGGAACAAAGACCTCGGTGCAGGGGCTGTTGAGAAACAACAGCGTCCATTGCCGTATCTACGCTTACCAGAGGTTTGGTGACTTGCAGCAATACTTCTTTTTCCCCCCGACTTGCCTTTGTGTATTATGGACGTTTTCACTGCAAACATGTGCCATCACAGGTCGTCTATACACAGATTGATAGTTTGTATATTTACATGTTTTTTTCTACAAAATGATATTTTTCAGACTGGGTGTATCATTTCCAATTTGCTTTTATCACTCAGTATTTGGGTTTTGAGGTTTGCCTGTGCGCATTCCTTTTCTCTCGGTGAAGTTTTCCTCAGTGAGTGGATAAAAACAGTGGGCCAAGATAACCATCCCTTATCCTTTCCTCTAACTGCCCAGTCTGAACAGATGCCCAGGGAGACACGTGCCAAGATGTGTTCAGACAGTGGAATCCACTCCCTGTGCCTTTCTGCTGAGAGGATGCTGGGATTTTAGCAGGCAGAGTTAGCAGCTAGCTGATGTTACTGAGGACACAGAGTTTTATTATATCATTTTCCATAAAGTTTTATGTATTTAGATGGGTTCAGACCTAAAAAAACCCCCACTTTTAGCTAAGTCCTGTCCTGTCCCTCACCCTCACCCCCCCACCCCCTTGCTTGTTGTGCTTCTGGTAATAAGATACTGAAGAGCTGACAGACTAAAAGCAAACCAAAGCAGACCCCACTCTCTGCCATCGAGGTGATGCCAACTCACAGGCACCCTGTGGGCAGGGTAGAACTGTCCCCGTGGGTTTCCGAGACGGGAACTGCTCCTGTCCTCCTCCTGAGGAGGAGCTGGCAGGTTCACACTGCTGGCCTGGCAGTTAGCAGCACAATGTATAAGCAGGACAGGAGAATAAGAAATAATTAAGCCAAAATATAGGAAAATGGGAACCCCGGAAGGCAAAGGTGGAGTCGAAGCCACTTTGCCCTTGAAGGCACTAGAGTGGAAATTTCCCACACATCACCTCAGAGAGGACTTCTGGAAAGCAAGTCTAAAAGTGGAGGCTAGCCTAGAATACAAAGCTCACGGGCCCTTTGCAGCCTAAACATGCTAGTTTTAGACAACTTGTGTCTGCATCCCTTTGATGCTGTGGAGTCAGGTGTCGTGAGGGCAGTCCCAACGCTATCAGAAACTCTCCTTTATCTCGAAAAGCTACAGTCTTGCTTTACCCCACAATATCAGGGTTACAAAGGAGACGTTTGATATTCTGGGAGCCGATATCCAGAGCCATGATGCCGCTCAGCACAATCGGTTTAAAGGACAAAAAATAAACGACAAGGAAAAAACAAGCGACAAGATTGGATCTGACAGAAGCAGCACCTTCCTTTCGGTGTTCTGAGGGGAGGAAGAAAGCCTTGCGGTCCATCTGTTTCTCATGGATTAGCATCAGTGTGAATGGAAGGATGCTGGGCTTTTATCTCTGAAAAATTGACCAGTATTAAAAGTAAATAAAAATGGAAAAATCCCCACTCTGTGTTTTGAATGCCATACAGCAGGAAAAACAGCCTCAAAGCAGAAACTTCCCTTCATGTGTCCTCTGAGCAAAGCAAATGTGAAACTAAATTAGTAGTAGCAGCGTTCCAGTATGCGCTAGCTTGAAACGGCCTTCTTCCTGGTGGTGTCCTGGCTTCACGTTGGGCTGCAGTCCCCACGGTCGGCGGCTGGAAACCACAGCAGTTCTGCGGGAGAGGACTGGGCTTCCCACTCCTGTCGACAGGCACGGTCGCAGAAATGCACAGGGTCAGTTTGAGTCAGCACTGACTCCCTGGCAGGGAGTTTGTTTGCTGTTTTTTAAACATAGTAGTCTTAAATTAAGACCCCAAATGAGGGGGTGAGAGCCACAGTTGAATCCCAGGTGATAAGAAAAAAATAAAAAATCAGAGACTATAAACACCTAAGCATAGTTGGAAGGGTTTAAAGACCCTGACAACTTAGCGCACAATTCTTAGGGTCTGTGAAGGCAAATCATGCTTTAAAAAAAGGGAATATACTTTAAGTTCCAGAGACAACCAAAACATGCACCCAGGAGTCTGAGAGCATTTGTGCCTTTGATAGTCAAGTTCTTTAAAGTCAACTTGGTCTGTTGTGTAAACAAGTAAACATCACTGTTGCTGGGAGGTGCTGACTCATAGCAGCCTTAAACCGAACAGAACCATACACCACCGGGTCCTGTGTCATCCTCCCACACATCCTGATGTGGGAGCCCATTGGTGCAGCCACTGTGTCAACCCATCTTGTCGCCGGTCTTCCTCTTTGTCATCATCCCTCTACTTTCTCAAGCAGGACGGGTCTTTCCTGATAGCATGTTCAGAGGATATGTCCAAAATTCTAAATATAGACAGTGAGAAACGGTGTCCTATGATGGGGCTCCAAGCAACACAAGACACATTATGTAAATATCTTTTAAGGATTAGCAGTGTCCTTTCTTAAGAATAAATAATTAGTGTTAACATATGGTTGTTAAATGTTTCCCTTGGCTATAACTCTATAATAAATGATGAGCACAGGTGCTAAAATGCCGGCAACATCACACAATGCAGAAACTAGATAGTTCTCCTCCTCTGTTGCCACCTCTCACCCCTGCCCCTCTCACTGTCACACACCACACACACACACACACACACACACACACAAATTAAATTCTCTGGAGTGAGAATCTCTTTTAACATAGCAGTTTAAAACAATTAAGACAACTATGTAAAACAGACCAAGAATTCCAGCCAAGTTTGAGCTCTTAAGTATAGTGATAAACCCAGATATGACAATTCTTTTTGGCTAATTGTCTTAAAAAGAGAATATACGTGTAGGTGAGTAGGGGGCGAGAGGGTGTCATTGAAGTTTTACTTTAATTGATCCGCCTGCCAGAAAGAGAGTGCCCTGCAACTTCCCCCAGGTATACTGCAGAGAAATGCTAGAGGAAAGTCTACACCCACCGTTCCTTACCTGTGGGGTCTAGTCTGTGCACACCAAGCACTGCCTGACTGTGAAACATCCAGAAGTGTCCGTTGTTACAGGAGAGAAGGCAGGAACTACATGGAACAATCACGTGATAACCTACAATGTTCCCACTTCAAAAAGAAAGTAAATGCTATTAGATGCCATACAATACTTAGCCATATAAACATTTTTATGTGCTAATGTAATTAGATCATCCATATAATTTAGAACTTATTCTCTCCTAACGAGTTCTATAGCTGGGGTCTTTGGGATAGGAACTACTCTGTTAAAATTAACGGTTTCAGTTTTACCATCAAATGGGGGGAGATAGCCTTTCTGTGAAAAAAAAAATACTGCCACCTTCGTTTACGCAGTTTCCCTTCAGAAGCTAGGTTCTGGATGCCATTAGGGTGTGATTTGTTCTGGAAAGCACCCAACATGGATTTGGTGTGCGGACAAAATGTATTAACTAAGCCTATAGACTTATAGTTACCTATAGACTTATAGGTAAAAGATTTTTGCTGTCCAGGCCACTGGCAAGTTGAGTTCCTATAATCGTCTAGGTCCATGTCAGCACCTAAAAAATGTTCCAGCAGATGGACGAGTAGGAAGACAGCACGAGTCCCTGCAAACGGAACACAGGCTGGAGGCTCTAATTTTAGTTTCAGTGTTTTTGCAGAAATTCAGACAGCAAGCAAATTCACGGCCTTCAGAGAAAGTTGCAAAAGTGTTTAGGTCTTCAGTATGAGCCAGTGGATTATAAGTTCTTCACTCTTTCATAGCTTCTTCTACTATCTGGTCCCATATTAAACAGCACGAACATCCAGGGGACATTTTAATTCGTGCTTTCTTCTTCTTTTTGTTTTAATAGCAACATAAATGGCTTATACCTTGAGTTGCAAAAATTCTTGTTATAGCTTGGTCCCACCCTGTAAGCTGTGGGAGTCAGTCATTTTTGCGAAGCCCTAAACAATACAATGAAAGGTACCGGCCCACCTGAAATATGTTCTATAAGCCTAACCCGTTTGAAGGACAAATGAAAAGAAAAGTTGTTCTTGGATTGGGACTAACCATTATTTGTAAAGAACTATATTGCAAGCCTGAATCATATGGCTTTCATGACAAGCTACTTTCATTTCGTCTTTCACTTACTCATTCGCCCAAATCATGTTTATTGAGCATCTACTACGTGCCAGGCACTGTTCTCGGCGTTAGGAAAACAACAACTACAAGAAACCCAAGCCAAGTGCTGTCAGCAGCACGGCCCTGTTGGCCAGCACAGAACTGCCCCAGGGGCTTTCCAAGGCCGTCCAGCTTCATGGAAATAGACTGTATCATCTTTCTGCCATGAAACAGCTGGTGGGTTCCAGAACTCAATCAGGTTGATCGTGCACTCAAGCATTGCACCACCAGTCTCCTTTGTGAGGGTAGAACAGTGGACAAAACCAAACTCTAGCTCTCAGGGAGCTAACATTCCAGTGTGTGACACATTAGCACATTTGGCTCCCTTTAATGGCTTCCCTTTGGCCCAAACCAAAAAACAAATACCCTACTAAGGTCTTGGTCTGCACTGCCTAAATCTGGCCACTGGTCAAACGTGGCTGCAAGAGCATTTGAAACGCTGGGTAGTTTAAACTGAGATGAACGAGTAGTGTAAGTGTAAAACATGCACCAGATCGCAAAGACCAAGAACAACACGAAGAATGTAAAAGATCCCATTAACAATATTCCTGTTAGTTACACGTTGAAATAATATTTGGGGCTATACAGGTATCCCCTACTCCTTGAAATGTAGTTTCCTGTCACTTCACTTTCCCGAAAGATTTAAACCAGCGGCTGTGTTCCCGCTAACCGCCGAGAAATCTGAGCAATATTGCTGTTACGGAAAAAGGAGAGAAGCAAAACTAGCTTCCCCGTTTGTTTTGCAGCCAGCTGGTCAAGCCAGGGCGCACCGCGGGAGGGGAGGAGGCGTGGCCAAGCGCCTTTCACAGGAACAGCTCAGCATCAACCTGCCCTTAGCTTTGAACCTTGTCTGTGGGCAGGGCATGTTCGGGTCACTTTAGGTTTCGTGTGCTACTTGGTGTGATTTCGTAGGCTGGATTTGGGGTCCGGAAATGCTCCAGACAACTCCCATATAAATCAATGGCACCTGAATCCTCGCTTTTCGTCATTTTGGCTAATGAGTGCTTTCATAGGGTTGTTCTTTTGGATAACGGGGGAAACCTGTTTGGGGCTAAATAAAATACAGGTGGTTAAATTTTATTTTTTTAGTTTTCTTTTTAAAAAATGTGGCAAGTAGAGAAACTAGATTAGTAGTTTCTTGGGGTTATGGCAGGGGTGGTTGGCGGGAAATGGGTAGCTAATGAGTACAAGAAGAAAATATTCTAAAATTGTGATGATGAATGTTTTAAAAATTGAACTATATATGAATTATGTGTCAACAAAACTGTTAGGATGCTTTTAAAATGTGACTACTAGACAATTTTACATTACATTTACTGCGCCTGTATAGGCAATGCTCTTCAAGATTACCTGAGGCTCTCTTAACTTCTCTGGCCTGTTCAGACGACTGCCTGCCTGCAGGCTTACAGTGTCTCAGACACATTGGCCCTGTCTTTTGAACCCTTGGGTTCTTTGCATTTGCTTAGAATAAGGAACCCTGTTGGCATAGTGGGTTACACTTTTGGGCTGCTACCCACAAGACCAGCAGTTCAAATCCACCAGCTGCTCTGTGGGAGAAACACGAGGCTTTCTATTTTTGTAAAGAGTCACCATCTTAGAAATCCAAAGGGGCAGTTCTACTTTCCCTAAAGGGCTGCTGTGAGTGGACTTGGACTTGACTCGACGGCCCTGAGTTTGGAGTCATCAGTGTTCGCAGAATATTCTGTGTCTACCTTTTCCCATCCTCGGGCTCTCAACTCCACCCACTGTTTCTGCTTCACGAGACTGCCCTGCCTAACCTTCATTATTTCCTGTAATTTATTATTATTTCCTGCAGAGCACTTCCCTTCAAATTAAATATCTAATTTATTGAAATATCTTATTGATCGATTGGCTTCTCACTAGAGTACATGAGTGAAGGCTAGGGGCTTTGTCATTTACTGCTTTGTTTCCAGCTTCTATAATAGTGACTAGCATGTGGTAGGTGGTTGATATAAATGTATCATGAATGAATATGATGAAATTAGATATTTTTTAGCACCTAAGAAGTGTTTGCTAATTTAAATTTAAATGTCTAGCATTATAATTGTAATCTAAATGCTATTTAAGTGAAAACATTTAAACTTTTTGTCTTTTAAAAATGGGAATAATACACTCAGTTGATCTACCTCTCAAAGTATGATACCAAAATAAAGATAACACTAGTTGGCATCTATATTGGAATTTACAATTTATCAAGCCTTTTAACATTCATGATTCATATGATCTTCAGAACAACTCGTGAGAATGCAAGAAATCAGGAAACAGGGGCTTAGGAGTTGAGAGGTTTAAGCCATCTTAAGAATAATTTCATTTATTTATTTTTTTTAAAGAGAAGATATACAGGATAAAAGTAGGGCCAGGATTCAAACCTGATCTTCAGGCATGTAAATAGAGTCTAAACTATTCTGCCTTGCTCCAAAAACTAAAGCAGGTATTTGTGCATCCACTTTGAAAAACTGTAAAATCACATATAAATGCCAAGCATCAAAAGACTCTTTCTTTATAGCTTTAAGTAACAAATGGTTTTTTAATGGTTCATTGTATGGGTTATAACCAGTACTCGCTACAGCCCACTGAACCCTTCTCTATGCCTTGTCGTCTACATCCATCTTCTAAACCCAGGCTATCTGAAATACCGCCACACATTACCATTTTAAACACGCGATGTCCTTCAGTTTACATTTGCAGATTTCAGTGAAGTAGCATCTTCCAATGAAGTCCACTGCACTGGAGAGGAAAAAGTGGAGATATAACAAATATACTTTTGTGATTTAGCACCAAATTTTATATCTCCAAAGCTGAAAGAGATTCTAAAGTAGGATGATAGCATATTTTATGAGTCAATTAATATTTCCAAGCTTACCATAAACATATGACAAGCCTCCCATTTAAAAAATTTTGTGTTCATTAATTCACACTTCTTAGCACATCAATCCATCACCATAATAACCCCTACAAAGGAGAAGAGCCAATACAAAAGGCCTGATTCTGCTCTATTCTGGACTCTGGCTCTGACCTATAGAAATTTACCCAAGTCTTTCTTATGACTGCCTTTTTACCAAAATGATTACACAGATGAAGGGGTTAATATTTTAAATTTGTATGTGTGTGTGTGCTTGTGCTACTAAAAAGAAAAATCACTAGACAGCAAGTCATAGAACCTTGGCAACAGTAAGTTCTATGATTGATTGCCTAGTGCCCTTTTCTAAAAATAAACACACGCAGACTTAAAGTATCAGCCCAGGCACTTTTGCAATAAATAAGAGTCTTTGGCTCTGGCATTAGATACAATTATATGTAAACTAATTCAGAAAAGAGTTTAAGAGAGGGAGAGTTTAGAGTTTTACCAGGCTATATTTTTTGAATGTTTAAACTTCAATCATTATAATGAAATTTGTTTTAAGGCATATGGCTATTAGCCTGCATCCTCTGGTTCTGTGCCCAAAGTTTGGAGCACAGGCATATATTGGCTAATTTAATGGCAAAGTTTCAATTTTGAAAGTCACGTAGAACAAGTGTATGTTAACTATGGAAAGAAAAAAATACCATTCGAGAAAGAGCTTTTGAAAACAGTTAATTTTTCCAAACAAGAAGCACATTCTTAAGGCCTCTACTTACCTACTCCCCCCACCAAATAAACAACAAACAGAAAATATACTGCCACCAAAATATATTTCAATTAATAGCATCAAGACCTAGGGAGGTAGCTCAAAATAAGTAGTTTTTTTTAAAAATTAAATAAAGGTTATACAAACAAATGGCTTAATAACCAAAATAGGCTTTAAGGAAGACAAGGATTATTTGGGGGCTACATCTCTATTTCATCTCATTAAAATCATAGTTAAGTCTTTATCAGAAAGGGAGAAAGATATTTGAGGAAAGAATATTGAGTGTGATGGACAATGGATCCGACTCAGCGTGCCAACAGCAAACAATGGTAGGAAACTAGGAATGTTTCTTAGTGCAAAATATACAGGTCAAAAGGAAAAAATGCGCTCTCCTCGGCTATGGTACTGAAAATCTTGCCTGAATTTAGCTAGAGACCAGGAGGTCATGTCCTTGGTCTAGTGAATTAAGATGGTGGGGGTGGTTGGGGAGGGGAGAGGGAGGGGCACAGCGCCAGGGATCCAATTTAAGAGATGCACGGTCACATGACTATAATTGAACTAGAACCATTACATCAGGATTGACCACTTTGGCTAAACCACAGACTTTGTCCAGACAGTCAGCCCACTTAGTTATACTCCAAGGGGCTCATCAGACGGTAGGGAGTGGCTGACACACCAAAATGATAACCTCCTTGTTGACTCTCAGAGGTCCAAGCCATGCACTTTCCCCCACGTAGTAGTTAAAGGCTACTGTTGCAAGACTTACTTGGTAGGAGGGATGTCTGTAGAAAACAGGTCTATTTCGGTATCAGCCAGCAAAACCGCTTTCATTCCCCTAGAGCTGAGCACCTGTTTACAGAATTTGCAACACAGGATGGACACACACCGATCCTTGAAACTACAACTGCTGGTTGACATGGCGTCCTGGGCAGGATGAGATGTGGGGATTGTGAAAGGGGAATTACCAGCAAGCCCCTTTCTAGATTAATTCACTCAAGCCAAAAAAATCAAGTTGTTAGGCCTCGAGGCTTTTTTTTTTTAGGCCCCGATGTTGGGAAGGAAATAAGTTCTTTTCTTTTTTTTTTTGCTTCTACCTATGAGAAGTTAAAAAAACATTGAGTAGGAACCGGAAGCAGCAGCCAATCTGGCTTTCCTTTTGAAGTCTCAGGGAAGAGAATTCGAATCAGGTAAAAGTTGCCAAGGTAGTTTTACTATGAAGGATCTTCTCTCCTCCAGCTCCCGTCCCCTTCAGCAACCTTCCCAAGTAGTCTCTTTTAATTCACAGCGCTGCCTCAGACAGTGTCCCCTGTCCAGGCATGACGCCCACTCTGGGATCGCGGGTTTAGCGTCCCTACCCACTTCTCTTCTTTCGGGATTCAGAGATCTTTTCACCTCTGTCCACCGGACGACCCCCGAGTCTCAGTTCTTTTTCCGTCTTTCGCTGGGGCGATCCTCCTCCGCAGCCCCGACCCCAGCCCCCGCCGCGTGCAAACGTCCTCACAGTTCCCTGGCGCCCTCCCTCGTGGACCCCCGTCGTCTCCTCAGATGTCTCCGGAGCGGATGCTCGAGAGCGCCGAGGTGGCAGTGGAACGGGGCAGGGGTCGCTTCAGGACTCAGTCCAGGCTGAAGTCTGTCACTGAACACGCCGGATTTTGCTCCCGCTTCCGCTTTCTCGGCGTTTTGGACCCACTGTCAGTTTGAATTACCAACGCCGCGCACGGATTGGGAAAACTAGAATTCGCCCAGGGCCCGCATTGGAAGATTCTGGGAGGGGGCGGGCCCTTCCCCGACGAGATCTTATTGGTGTAGAAACTGTACGCCCCGCCCCAGTAACGGTGCCGAGATAAACTCCACTTTTTGGTTGGCCAAACCTGTCCCCTCCTCCAATCTCATTGGTCCACTCTGGGAGGGTTAGGCAAATCCCTACTCCCTCCCCGGTGAAAGTGGCAAGGCACGCCCTTCGCCATCTTACTGGAAGACATTCTACATTCCCTTCCAGTCTCTACTCTCCATTGGCTAAAATTCTCCGCAACGCTCCTCCTCCCTACCCCGATCCTATTGGTCGTGGCTTCTCTCAAGAGTTTGTGCTTGGGTCTTGGTTCCATCTTAACCCCACCCATCAATTCTATTTTTGCTGGTGGTGGTGTGTGCAGTCCAATTGATTCCGACTCAGGGCGACCCTATTTCACTTTGGGTTCGTACAACCCTGGGAGGAGCATAGCCTGTGACCCCGCCTCGATCATGCTAGTCACACCTCCAAGTTTCGCTAGCCCCGCCTCCTCACTACAGGCCTCTCGGGATCCGCCACTCTAATTGGCTACAGGCCCCATCGGTCGATAGGAAGCAGGCGGTGATTGGTAAGGGGGTGGGTTCAGCTTCCCGGCGGGGTCCTGCGGAGTTGGCGGAGGCTCCTCTGGGGACTAGGGGACCGAACTGCGTAGAAGCGGGTAGCGGGGAAGCGAGGGGAGGAGAGCTCTGAGGGGGAAGCGGAGCCGGCGGGGGCCTGGAACCCGTCGCATCAGAGCCAGGTAAAGGCTCCTTCCCTCTGTCCTTTCTTCTCCTCGGCCGCGGGGCTGAAGCGCTCATTGAACATACCCGGGTTGGGGCGGGAAGAAGAAGTAGCGGAAGCTGCCTGCTGCATCACTTTGGGGGTCCCAACCGGAATCCCGCAGGCCCCCTCCCCTCCGGACCCTCTCCAAAATTTCCGGTACAGCCCATAATCTTTCTCAGGACTGCCTGTCTCTAGCCCTTTTCTGCACGGCCTGGGACTGTGCCCTGGCTCACCTACCGCAGCGCAGCCCGCACCCTGCTCCTCCCCAATTCCTTTGGACACCGACAGGCTCAGTCCACCTTCGGGAACCGTCGTTGGCATCACCCGTAACCATCAGCTTTCCCCTTTCCCGGTCTCTAAGCCGTGGCGGACGGTGCGAGCCACACACAGCCTAGGACCCAGGGGCAGGGAAGGGTTTTCCCACACTGCTTCCGGGATTCTTCCCATCGCAGTCCCGGGGCCCCTCTCTGAATAGTCCGCTTCACCCACTGCCATCACCAAGACCATTCTAGGTCCCCAAGCTCGCCAACATCCTTGAGCTTCACGTGACGTCGCGGTCCACGGTAGCCTTGCCCCCCACCCCCGGTAACCCTCCCTTTGCCTTTTCCCGCCTTCAAAGCGTGTGCAGATGCTTCAGTTATTCCTGGGCTCCCGTCCAACCTCAAGACCCCACCTCGCACCCCCCTTCTTCCCGTTTCCTGCCCGCTTGAACTACGCCGCCTCTCTTCTTCGCTGCGGCCCTTCCTCCACCGCGGGAAGAGGCTCAAGCGGGTGGCTCACTTCCCGCGGCTGGAGGAAGGCGTAAGCCTCTTCCTCTCGGAGGAGAAGGAACGGGGCCAGGGGAAGGCAGGGTCGCCGCTGCCGCACGCGGGTGAGCGAGACGCCCTGGCTCTGCGCTGCTGCCTCCCAGGCCTTCGCTGCGGCGAGATCTCCTGGGGAACCTCTTGGGGTCAGGAATCGGGACTGTGGCCCTCACCACCCAACCCCGCTGGCACCCCCCAGCCTAGAATTGGGTGCGGTATCTAGGATGTCAGGGCTTGGGTGGCAAAAAATATTTAGGGAGTGGCATTTAGATTCACTCTCTTCCCTGGCTGGAGCAGAAGACGGCTGCCTTCCGCACCGCCACCCCTCCCCCCAACCCCCCCTAGGTTTTCCCGGCTCCGACCCCCGCCTTTAACCCGTTTCCTGCTTCGGCCGAGCACATTGTTTTCCTGGATGTATCCCGTGCCGAGCAGGCTTTTTCCTGCAGATCTCTCCCTCGTA